CTTTCTTTCTTTCTTTCTTTCTTTCTTTCTTTCTTTCTTTCTTTCTTCCTTTTCTTTCTTTCTTTCTTTCTTTCTTCTTTTCTTTCTTTCTTTCTTTCTTTCTTTCTTTCTTTCTTTTTCTTTCTCCCCTCTCTCTCTCTTCCTTCTTCCTTCCTTCCTTGTATTTACCTTCCTTCCTATCTTCCTATCTCTGTCCCTTCTTATCTTTCTTTCTATCTATCTTTCTATTTCCCTTCTTTTGTTTTCTTTCTTGCTTTTTCCTTTCCTTTTTCCTTTTCTCTTTCTCTCACTCTCTCGCATGACAGCTACATAATTGATATACTGTAATGCCAATTTTACATTTGTGGTGTGTGTCATTCTGGTTTCCAAACTGGTTTCTCTTCTTCTAATAAAATGATCCCATACTCTTTTGAGCCTTCTGGGTGAGCTAGCAGGGGTTTGTCCTGTGGCTGATTGCACCTTAGACTTCAGAGGTTAATCCATCATTCACCCACCTCTGTCAAGTTTATTTTAGACTATATTACAATGGAACTATGCTCGTTCATTTAACGTACCCTTCTGTTATATATCGCCTACTCTTTGTCCCTACTTTAAGGTGCAGCTTAGTCATGCTAGCTGAACCCTGCCAGACCATGCTTGTTAAGTTATGAGCTATTCAAATACAGGAATAATAATGATGATGCCCTCAAAAAATTGAGGTATGCCATTTTTTTTTCATCTGAAGACAACAGAAACAATGTAAGATCCAGGTTTATTTGGAGTGCAGCTAGACAAAAAATCTAGATTTTATTTTACATTTACATTTCATTAAATTAACTGAATGCAGTTGAAATGTTACACATTGAACAGGGCGAAGTCTCGACTGAATTGGTCTCTTCTAGCTGTGTGATGCTATCATTCTGTGATTTCCCCCAAAGTATTTCCATTTTTCCTTTCTTCCTTTTTTTTCTCTTTTCTCTTTCCACCTCTTTCTCCTTTTCTTTTCCTTTTTTCTTTCTTTCTTTTTGGATGAGAAAAGGGAGGGAGGGGTTGGCTGGATGAGATTTTTGTGAGCTTTTGCAAAGAGGATTAAATGCAGACCCTGTATTGGTACTTTAATGAGGAGAGGAGAGCCCTGGGTTTTTAGTCTGGGGAACAGAAGCACAGAATGAGTGTCTGGATGTGATTGGATCCCTTTCTTTCTGTAAAAGGATGAAGACAGGATTAAGAAAGCCCAGCACGTTGGGGCTGATATTTTGACAGGTGATATATTTTAAATGCATTGTTGCTGGAAAGGGGAATGGCTAGGATTAACGGCCGGCTGTTGACTGTGGTAGAGAGATGCATTTAATTAAGGGAAGAAGGAAATGGAATTAGTAGCTGATTTCGGAGGAGAGAACCAGTGCTTAGAAATAGTCACTGTGGGCTGGAGAAATAGAAATGGACATAAGCAAAGACTAACAATGGGAAGGCATTTCATTTGGGAGAAGGGCAATTCAATTTGGAAGATGAAGAGCACCACTGAAAGGCTCCATATGTTAGCTTAAACTAGGAGAATCAAAGAACGATTTGATTTTAAGGCATGGGTTTTTTTTAGTAACCCCATTGTGAACATTACTTGGTTTTTGGCCTCTGTAAATAAACCAGTCTTTGCCATTTTCAAATCTTGATTCGTGCCTTAAGGCAATGAGGGAATGTGTTTGTCATCTGTTTCATAAATCACAATAAAACAAGCCAGGGCTTAGCATAATATGTAAACCTAAAATGTAACAAAGAGGAGAAGTAAGGTAGACGCTCTTTGAGAAATCCCACCTTGGAAATCCTGAATTAGGTTTTTCTTGTGATAGGACCATTTATAGTCCTGGGAGAGGGGATGGAAGAGTTTTTGCACATGATCAGGGCATTTTTTTGTGGAATGCATTCGCGTTTTCAACTTTTCTGATCCTAAAACAGAGTCTGAGATTGCAATGCTGTTTGTTATAGCTTTCAGTGAAATTCAGGTTAGTGCTACAAATCCTTATTTGATTTATCCATCCAGGAAGGTGGATTTAGATCTTCATCCACTGAATGCCAACCTCCTTGAAGCAATAATCATTTGCTGTGGTCAGGAGGATGGGGGGAGGGGAGAAGAGAGGGTTTAAAATTGAGGAGCAGATATGAATGCCCTATGACGATGGAAACGTTTAAGAAAAATCCCTAATTCTATAGAAAGGATGGCAAAGTTTTCAGTCAGGTTTCCTGGAGAGCCTCATACATTGAGTTGGATCATGTGTGCAAAATGCCAGAAAGGCTATTATAGCGTGATTTGAGATGCGCTGCTAGAAGCTATCTTATTTTCAGATCATGTGATTACAGGATGTGGATCAGAAGGTGGATTTTGCAGAGGGATTTATCGTATCACTCCATAAAATGGCTGGGAATTTGAGAATTAAGAGTGCCAATAAAACGAGAAGGCAAGAGGGTGGAAATAGAAAGAGGAATTGCGTTATGGAAGGGCCACTTCTGTAGATATTAGCAAGACTAACTTTGTTTCTTGCTACCTCTTCCAGCCCTTGAGACCATCCTACTGTATGATTAGTAGATCTTTGGTCCATGAAATGGACTTTGAATTGCACAACATGTTGCCTGACTGCTTAATTGTCTCGCCTCATTAAATCTTCTTTAGATTTGACTGCACAGAGCGATTTATAACTAAGAGAAAGCTATGGGGAAATAAGGCCATCTCACGGTCTCAGCCACAAAAATAGAATACGGACTAGAACAAATGCATTGTGGGATGAGTTGCAAAGGGGGGAAAGGGTCACAGCACAGAAGAGGAGGAGCTAGCGCCAACTTGATGCAAAATGTCATGCCTGGGAGATTCCATGGGAGCTCGGGTCCAATGTTCAACATATGATAGCTTCAAAAAGATCTAATAACCAATGGGCGATTAGCCATTGGAAGCCCACCAGTGCAGTTCCCACTAGAGTGGTTTGGATTCCAAGATCCATAAGCCCCAAACATTGCACAGTCCAAAATATCTGGACGGTGCTGGACTGAGGAGGGCTACAGGGAAGAGGGTTCGTGGTTAGAACTGTATCATGTAGGCCTGGGAAGAGTTGGCAGAAGCTGCTTCTCTCCCTCTCGCTCTCTCGCTATCTCTACTTTGCATGTTGCTGGGATGGGAAGGTGGATTTACTGTCCACAACCTGCAGGTTTCATGTGGCCTCTCCCTAAAGGAAGAGTTTTTAGCTGCTGTCTGCTATGAAGCAAATCCCCTCAAGCAGGAATAGGCGAAAACGCCTTTGGGCATTAGGTGTGAACATCAGTGGGTCTTGCTTTGGCTCTGGTAGTTTTCTCCTTGGCTTAAAGGTGGAGACTCCAGAGAGAACGAGAGTCACCCCAGACCTTCCCTCTTATGTCACACCACTGTTGCTCCCTTTCCTCTTTCCTAATCTGTCCTTCTCTGTCCACAACCTCGACAGGCGAGTGTAGAAAGTCTCCAAGGAGGAGATAACCCAACGACGGCTTGCAGAGACCTTGCCAATGCTGGGTGCCCAACCGCCCGCTCACCGCCCCCCCAAACAACCCCACTCCCGCAGCGGGTCCACCGCGCCTAAATAACGCCTCCTCTCTCCTCTTTCCAGACGGTGCGCGTCCAGGGCAATGACATTTCACACCGGCTGCGGCTGTCAGGGGTCCGGCGGCAGGACGAAGGCATCTACGAGTGCCGGGTGTCGGACTACGGCGACGAAGACACCCAGGAGCATAAAGCCCAGGCGGCGTTGCGGGTCCTGGCGCGCTTCTCGCCTCCCGACGTGCAAGCGGCCGAAGCCGTCTCGCACATCCAGAGCAGCGGCCCGCGGAGAAGCAGCCCGCCCGGGCGAGCCACGGCCGAGCCGGGCTTGGGAGACAAGCGCCTCCTACCGGCGCAGGGCGAAACTGCCGCTGCGGCCGCCGCTTCCTCTTCCCTCTCTTCCTCGTCTTCCTCTTCCTCTTCTTCTTCTTCTTCCTCGGCGTCTTCGGCGTCCTCCGCCGCCTCTTCCAGCCCCGCGACTGTGGCGGCGGCGGCGGCAGCAGCAGCAGCCTCGTCGGCCTCGCCTCGGCCGGCCTCCGCGATCGTCCTCCTGCAGCAGCGAGGATCAGGTAGGTGGAGCCGCAGCGACACCCGGCGGGGAGTGGCGGAAGCGCAGGGAGCTGTCCGTGGTGCTGAGCGCCGGCTCGACCGGGCGGCCCACAGGAAGCTCCTTGCTCGGGGCTGTTCAGCAGGAAGACTCGCTCCATTGGAGTTCTACTTGAGCTCGTCTTTTTGTGACCCGTAAAATCCTCCTTTGATGGTTCAGCTGAACATTCCTCTCGTTTTTATCTGGTATGCTCTTCTATCAAAGCACAAGGCAAGATGTGGTGTTGCCCACCATCTTAGGAAATGGGTTAAGCTGGGAAGAGAGCAATTGACCCAAAGGTCTATGGAGATTCTCAATCATCCAGGTCATGGTTGTCCCAAAGGTGCCTTTTCAAGAGGGAACTGGTCTTTCTGGTTTTTCTTTGAAGACATTTCGCTTCTCATCCAAGAAGCTTCTTTGGCTTCTTCCATTCCCCACCATCCATCAGAGTTGAAGACGCTTCTTGGGTGAGAAATGAAACATCTCCAAAGAAAAACCAGAAAGTCCAGTTCCCTCTTGAAAAGGCACCTTTGGAACAATTGGTCCAAAATTGCCCTCTGAGTTGTGGTGGATTTGGGTGGAACCTGGGTCTTCTAGTCCAACATTATAACTATAACTCACCTTGATTCTCAGTATGGTCTCAATATATTTTTCCCAATAGCCTTCTGTTCAAATAGGAAGACGTTTTCTTCCCCAGATTGCCTTGCATTAAATTTCAAAGAATTTAGCCTGATGAAGAAAGAAAGTATTTAAAATGAAAAGGACAAAAATTGGGCATTGCTTCTGGTGTATTATTGTGTTTGGGTCATGTACAGAAATGTGATTGGATGGGGTTTTAAGACTTTGAGTATATTTCTGAGTATTTCTTTCAATGAAGTTCTTATACTATGAATATTACCGTAGAAAACCTCTTAGTTGGTCCAAGAGCAAGCTTTGTATTTCTCACAGCTGGATAGTAAGTGAATGTAATGCTTTAAAAGGTCAGCTGAGTACTTGCCTCCCTAGGACTCACTATAGAAACAATATAGACTCATTGTACAAAGAAAACTCTATCACAAATTATTATATAAAGCATTTCCCCAAAGCACTATGTAGCATTAGCCAGTAATAGTAACAACAGCAGAGAAACCACTTTGCTCTTTCATAGAACTTATTGCAACAGTTCTGTGGATTTATTTTCAAATATCAGTAAGATCATAATTATAAGACATCACTCTATTTGAATGTATATTCATGTAATTCCCCATTTTCCCCCTCCATATTTATAATACAGGTAGCCCTTGACTTACAATTCATTTAGTGACATTCAAAATTACAACAGCACTGAAAAATGTGACTTATTTTTCATAATTACGACCTTTGCAGCATTCCCATGATCGTGTGATCAAAGTTTAAATGCTGTCAAACTGGTTCATATTTATGACCTTCGCTGTGTCTCAAGATCATGTGAACCCCTTTTGTGACCATCTAACAAGCCAAATCAAGGGGGAAACCTGAACAACCCACGTTGTTAAGCTGACAACTGCAGTGATCCACTTAACAATTGGGGCGAGGAAAGTCATAAAACGGAGCAAAACTCACTTAACAAACGTCTCTCGCTTGACATAAATTTTGGGCTCAGAAGTCGAGGACTGCCTGTCTGTATGCATTATAATGAGTAATGTTATGTTTTAGGCCCACTGCAAATATTGCAAGGAGGAAAATGTCCTCTTGTAAAGGCATTCAAGAGCCATGGTGCCGCAGTGGTTAGAATGCAAGATTGCAGGCTCATTCTGCTGACTGCCAGCAGTTCAATCCTGACTGGTTCAAGGTTAACTGAGCCTTCCATCCTTCTGAGGTTGATAAAATGAGGACCCAGATTGTTGGGGACAAGATGCTGATTCTGTAAACTGCTTAGAGAGGGCTATAAAGTACTGTGAAGTGGTATATAGAATAGAATAGAATTCTTTATTGGCCAAGTGTGATTAGACACACAAGGAATTTGTCTTGGTGCAAATGCTTTCAGTGTACATAAAAGAAAAGATACATTTATCAAGAATCATCAGGTACCACACTTAATAATAGTCATAGGGTACAATAAGCAATCGAATCATACTAGGAAACAGTCAATATAAACTGTAAGGATACAAGCAACAAAGTTACAGTCCTACAGTCACAAGTGGGAGGGGAAGGGTGATAAGGAGTGATGAGAAGATTAACAGTAATAGTAGTGCAGACTTTGTAAATAGTTGGACAGTGTTGAGGGAATTATTTGTTTAGCAAAGTGATGGCATTCGGAGAAAAACTATTCTTGTGACTGTTCTGTGTGCAGTGCTCTATAGCGTCGTTTTGAGGGTAGGAGTTGAAACAGTTTATGTCCAGGATATGAGGGGTCTGTAAATATTTTCATAGCCCTCTTTTTGACACATGCAGTATATAAGTCTAAGTGCTATTGCTATTTATTTAGCTGTGCTTCTTGTGATCAGCGTGTTTTATTTAGAGAAATAAGTTCCATCGGTCTTCAAAGAGGTTTATTTTGTGTGATTTTATATTTTGTTTATATAGTGTGATTAGGATTGGAATGTACAGTTTAGACTGAGATTTCAGAACAATAGAAGAGAAATAGGCAGAAGGTAGAAAAGTTAAGAAAAGAAAACATTCTTATCAGTGACTGTGTTGGGTCCATATGTGTGTTTGTCCACTAGAAAAGTTTCCGTGGTGTATAAGGTCTTATTCAACTGCAGCCCTTTTGGCTAGATAATTTCTGAGGGCTTCTAGATGGAGCCGAAGAGGAGTGTTCTGAAGACATATCATAAATACCTACAATTCATAGCAGATGGTGCAATACAGTGCCTTGAATTCATTGGTGTATCTTGATTACCTTGTTTCTGACTTCTTGTTCCCAAATTCTAAAGCTATGCTTCTTATTTAGAAAATGTTTGCACCAGCTGTTTCTTCAACTGTAATTAGGAAGTCTCTGATGGCTGTTTAATCCACAACAGTGGAAAAGTCCCAATGAAAGCAAACCCCATATTTGCTGTTGATATTAGTCCTAGCCACGATAAGACATGCAGGACATGCCTTCTGGGAAATCTGAAAGCACGGGGTGAATAATAATTGGTCCTAGAAGTAACCAGGTTTCAAAAACTATGCAAAAAAAAGATGCTGAGACCAGAGAAAGTGCACAAAGAAGAGCAACAAAGATGATAAAGAGTATATAAGGCTAAATCGTATGACGAATGGTTGAGGAAACCAGGTGGGCCTAACCTATTGAAGAGAAGGGTCAGGGTTGGCAGGATAGCAGTCTTCCAGGACTTGAGAGGCTGTCACAAAGAAGAGGGTGGAGACGTAGAGTGGAACCTCAGGTCGCAAATGCGCCTGTTCGCCAGTGGCGGATTAAGTTCACTGGTGCCCTAAGCACTGACAAATCTTGGTGCTCCCTTCCTTTGTACATACTGTACAAATGAAGCCATTGTTCTGACCCAGGCTTCATCAAACATAATTAAACATAAACTTGTTTTAAAAGCAAAACCTATTTTATTGCAACACTGGGAATTACTTTCATTCCCAGCCAGAAGTAATCTTAAACAGTTCCCCAAGATAAGCACACGCCTTTCAGTGCTGTGGAACACAGCCAAAAACAGAAGTATCCAATTAATTATAACAGAAACCAACCAAAGTACCAGAAAAAACCAACTAGAGTTCACAGAACTTCAAGGAGGACTCAGAATCTTTTGAACTACTTTGCTTCCTGCAAAGTTTTCCTCATTGAGGTCTGACTTTTATCCCTTATGGGAGGGGCAATCATCTCCAAACCTTACTTCTGAGTCGCCCCCTTTGTTTCAGCTGTTCTTGCCTTCTGGCAGCTCTGTGCGCACACACACTGGGAATAGGCTCCCCTTGTTCCTCTGCCTCACTGCTGCCAGACTCCGAAGGCTCTGAAAGCAGCACCCCACTCCCAGATGGTCCTGGCCCCATCCCTGCATCAGATGCAGGACCTTTGTCTGAGTCCTCTCCAGACTCCCTGACTGGTCCCCTTTCTTCCTCACTGTCCAACTCCACTGCCATCTGCACCGGCTACCGGCGAACCACAACAGCTATATTCTCAACTTTGTGGTGGCCCCTTGCATGTGCTTAGTCTGCTTAATGGTTAATACACTGCAGTTCACGACCAAATTGGGTGGTGAACAAAAAATCCACCCAATTTTTGAATCCGGTCACAATTCAAAAATCAAATCGGTGCAGAAAGATTCCCTTTCGGCGCCAAGTTCCCCTTCGCTGCCATTTTTTTTTTTTTTTTTTGTCTAGCATGTGCAGACGGTTGTGCTTTTGGTCATGACCAAATTGGGTTGCGGCTGAACTCCTGGAATGGATTACGGTCGCAACCCGAGGCTCTACTGTATTCTCCAAAGCACCAGAGGGAAGGACAAAAATTAACAGGTTTAGAAGATAATTTAAAGATGGACCCAACCTGAAGGATGCTCTGATTGTGAGAACAGTTAATCCAAGGGTCTTCAAACTTGGTAAGTTTAAGACTTGTGGACTTCAACTCCCAGAATTCCTGAGCCAACATGACTGGAGGAGGAAGTCTTAAAGCTGTCAAGCCATCATGGAAAGCTTGCCTACTGGAGTTGTGGGCGCTCCATCACTGTAGGTTTTCAAGAGACTGGACAACCATTTGACTGGGATGGAATAAGCAAGGGGTGTCAAACTCAAGGCTCGTGGGTCGGATGCAGCCGATGAGTTGCATAGACTTGGCACCCTGGAAAGAGCAAAAGACCAGCCAGCAGTGCCTCTGCCAGTGAACATAGAGCTTCTATTTTCTCTGGCAGAGGGCTGCAGGAGGCCAGCACAGCTGAAAATGGGGGCCTGGGGGAGCTGCTCTCAGCGCGCACACACACACCCCGCAGCTCCATTTTTGCTGGCAGATAGGTAAGCAGAACAAACTAAAAACAAAACAGAAAGGAGAAATGTTTCCCCTTTTGCATTTGAGCATGCAAGAAA